ATTGCCTCAGATTTGCACTGTGGAGATTTGGCCCAAATCTATAGTAACTCTCTCTAAACGTATTCCCTAACTGAAAAACAAGACAAAACACTGTCTGAATTGAAAGTATTTAAACAACCGACTGTGGTTTAAATTTAAATCTGACTCATAATGGGGTAATATGTTCCACAGCATCTTCCTCCTCATACCCCCAAGCAGGGAGAGAGGCCCTTAAAGAAATGGGGGTTACCACTGTCTGGAGGGTTGTTGGTTCTTCCTAGACATCAGGCAAGCTCCACAGGAGCCCCTGGCATGGACCGGGCCCTACTCAACATGGAAAGACCAAAGGTCTGCTGCTGCTTGCTTCAAATTCTTCACTGCAATCCAATGTCTCCCCTGGGCTTTAACCTGGCGCCGTTCATTTGCTCTGCAGCCCTGCCACTCTGACACGTGCTGTAGGACGTCCCCCCGCATCAGCAGCCTCTCAGGTACCCACACGCACAGCAGCCTCAGATAATGACAACGATAAAAACCAGCGCTTCGGCTGCATTTTTCGTGATGCTTTATGATGTGTTAACAAAACATGGCAGTACCTCCATAGGAAGCAATTATTACTTGTTATTGTTTGACTGTCTGTACATAATAAAAATACCTTAAAAACAATACCACAACCCTTTCTCAACAACAGCTTTTTGCCCTGCAAGGGTTTCCACTCATCCAGTTTTGCAGTGGTGCCTATTTATTTTTTGGAATGCTTATTCATAAAAGACAAGCTTTTTTCTGAAGGGTGCAGGGACTTTATTCATAAATACAGAAGCACCTTAATAAAAGAAAGATGTGATGAAGCCTTCAAAGCAGGCAAGAAAACTGACGAACAAAGACATTCCCATAACAACTGAGCTTTATCTGATCAAATTCCAATAAAGCCTGCATTTGGCATAAATCTTTAAAAACATAGCAAGGGCCACTGGAGGATGCTAAAACTTGTTTATTTAATATTATTCCTCCTCCCTCCTCCAAAAGTACTTTATCCTCTTAATATTTTCTGAAGTCTCAGTGCACACTGAGAAGTGCATCAAGCAAACACAGCGCAGTGGAAGTATGGGAGGAGAAGCACAGGAGAGCTTCCTTCCTTCCTTCCTTCTTCCTTCCTTCCTTCTGGTTTCCCACTCTCCAATGTACTGATGATCAGCAGCACCACTACCAGATTAACCCTCACTTTCAGGAAGAAATAATAGCAGAAAAGATAGTGTCTCTAAAGAATTTAATTCTCTGTGGCTTCACTTAACCAGAGCCAAGAAGAGACAGAAGCTTTTATGTCAGCCTTATAAAAGAAACTTAATTCCTACTTCTGTAAGTTTTACTATTTTCCATCCTAAGACTACGACTACTTAATATGTGTACTGTGCTTCCCATCTGCACAGGAACACATAGATGTGACTGACTAATCCTTAAATACCAAGAAAAGTATTTTGGGTGAAAACAGACATTAAAGAAACTGCTTCTGCTCTTGGGGACTACCCCTTGCCCACTGACTTTATGGACTCATCCAGGGCACCTCCATGAGAATTAATCTCCAGGACCTCCTGCCTGAAGAATGAAGGAGGCAGAAGACCTGGCAAACAGATCCACAACCAGTTGCTCCCAGCATAAATACGACAGAGTGCTCTCTGCTCCAGCCCTGCCTCTGAGGTGGGAACAAGGTTCTGCTGCTGCTGCTGTGCCGGGGGCCAGGAGCGAGGGGCCGTGGCCCTGGCTCGCCACACCAAGCAGTCCCAGACTGCCTTCTCAGAGTCATTGCCAACAAGGGCTGCAGGAAAACACAAAGTCCTTTTCTGATGTGGTTTGGAAAAGGGAGCCAAGTATAGCCTGAGGAAAGCTTAGCCGAAAAGGTGCAGCCTTGCATTTCTTTTTTCATTTTAAGGGGTAGATCTGTAAGGTCAGAAGACCACACAAAGAAAGAACCATGAGGAAAAACAAAATATTTATATTCTGCTTGCTTATTTTTTCCATTTACTCTGCACATCTGCCTCTAGCTGTTCCTAAAATAGTCCTTCAGAATAATATTGTCCCTTCTGCACCAGTGGAATATATACTACTACTAAACTGCCACTGGACTAAATCAGAGAGCTCTTGGAGAGAAGTTAGGAAACTTGCATATGTTCAGGGACAGACATGTTCCCAGTGAACCACAACAAGAAAGCTCTGATTCTCTCCAGAGGACTTCTGTCCCACTCTTCCTGCTTGACTGAGAAAGATGAGAGGAGATGGGAACAACCATTCCCTGAAACTACAGGTATGAGAGGAATTTCAAAAACCTTCATCAAGATCTGCTCAAGAAAGCAAAACACTAGGCAAACCAAAACTTGGTGGAAGGGGAAAAAAAAAAAAAAAAAACCACAAACCTAAAAAAACACCCTAATAATTAAATGTTGCTTATGCAAGACGAAAAACCACAATGTTCCTTCTGGGCACAACAGCCCTGGCAAGCCCAGTACGTATCTCACAAGACAGGAAGCAGTGCTTATGCATGGAGGAGGAGCGATGGCTGCACATGCCAACTCCACCAGCAATCTCTTCTGCAAGGTTCTCTCTCCATGCATGGCTTTTCATGCTCAAAGTGAAGATACCAGAGAAAGTCTTCAGCCCTTACAGAATGTATTTGCCTCTCCCGCTTCCACCTCTTCCCACTTCCAGAATTAGCATCTTCCTCATTCTCCCCTTTTACCTCCCACATTTGTTCCTTCTTCCACTGCTAGATATCCCTATCAGTCTATCATTACATAGCCCTGAAGCTCCTCTCTAGCATCAATGCCCCCTGCTCATCCTTCCCCACCTTCAGCTCCTTACATTTTTCCTCTCTAAAATTCAGATTCTAAGTTTTAGGATGTTTTCTATAGCGCTGTCCTACAATACATCCTCCTCTTCAACTTCTCCCTACTTTTGCTTCTCCTGTTAAACACTGCATGCTAACCTCATGCATTGTGATGGAGATCAGATGCAGCAATATTTAGGGACTCTGATGCTCCTGCAGTAGAGCTGCTGGGAAGGAACCCATGCAGTTCAGACCGATCATCACAGAGCTAAGATAATACCTGCACATAAAGTTTTGGGGAGACCATATAAGACTGCAACAGGTAAATATGACCAAAGAGGGTCAAAAACAATCAGCAGAAGAAGGCTACAACAGCTTCTAAGAAGTAAAGCAGAGAGAGGAACTAAAAGGCAGCTTTTGTAATTTTAATAGGTGCTCTGAAAGGGAAATGCTCCAGATACAGCTTGCCTCTCTATAGGCAAAAGAGCAAATAACATGCCTAAAACATGCCTGGTAGAAACACACACTCGGAGTTCGCTGCCTTTGGCCTGCCTGTTATTTGGTGGAGAAAAGACCTAATCCTACAATAACCTGCACTCATTACTCATCTAACACTTCACTCAGTATGCCCCACCCAGCCTAAAAAAGAAATTACCTTACTCACCAGCTATATATTTATATAAAGGACCCAAGTACCTGCCCTGGATGCAGGTGTCAGTCATTTCCATGGGCACAGGCTTGCTGGAGTCAGGCTCTCTCAAATAAGCTCCAGCTGTTTCTCATCACAAGGCAAAATCCCAGCCAAGCAACGGCCCTTTCTTCCCTACCTCTGCTGAACCCTTTGTGTCCCACATTCCTCAAACAGGGAAAGGCAATGAGCAGAGCTCAAGCAACTGCAGCTGTACTCCGTTCAGGTGGCTGACTAACAGGTCTCAAAAGCAGAACAATAGAAAGCCTAGAGATTCCATCTACTCCTTTAAGGATGTCTGAACAGTGAGGTCAAGCCAGAACATACCACCATTACAACAGGCTGGTGTGGCAGCATCACAGGGACTCAACGGTATAATTCTCGGTGGCGGCTGTTATATACATAGACGCCACCAGCGATTCACATTAAAGATTCCTGCTAGCTTTCTCTTTTAAAAAATGACATGTTATTTACTCAACTTTTCTGCCAGCCTGTCCTGGGGAAGGAAGTCAGCCAGGTTGCAGTCGTGAAGCCAAGCACCCAGTGATTGACTACCTGTGGGCCTGAACCATATTCAACTAAGAACCATTCTTCTACATTTAAACAATGTCTAAACAGTCCAGTGCACCTTTTCCTGCTGTCAGCCTCTAAGGTTGGCTTATACTGTCATTTCAGCAAGCATGTGAATCCAAATTCCCCCCTCTCTATTCCAAGTTTGGCTTGCACTTGACCAGACCAGGCAGGAAAATGTGAACATTGAAAGTGAGGGAGAAGGCTAACTCAAATTTGCACACGCTGGATCCAAACTGGACTGTACGGTGCTGCAAACCCAAGGCAGTGCTCAGGCTCAGCTAATGAGGGCAACAATAACAGAGCCAGAGAGGGGCTCAATACACTTTGTTTTACAAGGTGGTATCCTATCTGGCAGGGTTTTCAGCAGAACAAGTCATGGACTGCTGTAACAGCCATGAGTTTTACAGTACAAAACTACCAGGAATTGAGTCTCTTTTTGTTGCTGTTTCTCAGTCGTCAATCTCTGAATTGTCCACTCCCTCACTTCAATCCGTAGGCCATGATACAGAAGCCAGATCTGAAATTGCTAGGCTTTGAAACTCAATTATTAACAACGCCATTTCTGTGAGGAACACTTAACACGCTTCTCCTGCACAAAGGCCAGAGAGAGGGCTTTGACTTCTTCTATGTAAACTACAGTACAGGCCAGGCATTGGGAGACAGAGATCCTGGGGATGACTTGTTTGATGTCTTGTTCTGTCACTTACCATTATATGCTGAAACTTTGGAATCCTGAGGCACAACTGCTAGAAAAAGTTTGCACATTTCAGCTTCATATGATTTTGAATAAAGTCCTTTCTAGGAGAGGCACAGGAAATAAGAGACTACTTTGGAAAGATGGGACTTAACCACTTCTCCCTGTGGTTTGCTTCACCTGCCAGATGGGTACCAGGTGGATTTGCTGCAGAGACATGGGGAGCTGACACGTGCGAGGTGCCACCGTACCTGGTACAGCTCTATCCGCTGCTCTGAGACACGCGCCTTCGAGTTCTGCAGGCGGAAGACCCTGAACTCAGCCTTCACCAAGTTGGAGGCATTCTTCTCCATCGCTGAGACATCAAATCTGACGATTCGGAAGTAAAGGCTGTAATAGCTCGGTGGGATGGCATCTGCAAGAAGGCAGTGTGATTTTAGTATTTTTTTTTTTAAATGATAAAACACAAGACAATCTCAGCAAGGGAAACATCTGTAGCATGATTCAGTTTCCAATGGCCAATTTAATATTATTAACAATTTAATAATAAAAAAATCCCCAACAACCCCACATGCGTTTGATTACAGGAATACCATATTAATAAAGATTAACAACCATTTCCAACTCTATTTCAGGTCATGCGTTTAAATTCCCCTCTTTCAACATACTGGTGGAATAACCTGGATGCTTATAACTCGGGAAAAAAATCACAACAGTTGGTATCTGGCAAATGCCTTCAGACTTGCACAGAGTTCACAAGGATCCAGTGAGACAACCAGCAATGGCAACTGATCGATCTGTATGTTCCCTGAAGGCCATTTCCCCCTAGAACATGGGAGTATAAAGTAGCTAGCTTCAGATTTTGTTTTCTATTTAGTTACTAAAGGATTTTCTTGGAATAAAATATTCATTGATTATAGTAACAAGGGCAGAAGAGAAGAGGAAGAAGAAAGGGAGGAAAAAGGCAAGCAGATAGCAGACATTACAAACATAATTATATGCATTTTGAACACCTGGAAGCAGGAAAAGCCATAAATATAACCACTCCTCACTCTATACTGGGGAGACACCAGAAAAAACAGCTAGAAAACCAGACTCAAATCTTCAGTAATGGTGTTAAAAATATCTGTTTGGGTTTCAAAACAGTCTCTACCTCCTTCCCAGCTGTAAACTGTGACCAAGGGTTAGCAGCAAAGCACCTTTGCACAACTCGGGTTACCCAAAAGGGGTCAGCGACCACCTGAGGGCTTTCCACCTCACCCTGGCTAGCAGCACCAAGAGAAACCTCACAGGCCTCCCTGGGGCCACGCCAGCAGGAAGAATTCAGATAATTATTACAAAACACAACGTTTTCCCAGTAGTCACAAAGGCTGGGATTTGCCACGCAGGGGCAGGAGGTGACAGCCTGCACGTTAGGGAGGTGAGCAGTTCAGCTCCCGTGGCAGACCCAGGCCTTCTCCAAAATCCCAGCGAGGCATTAATCCAGGCATCTATCAATCGAATAAAGTAACTTCTTCTGGAAGATACCTAATTCTTAATAGATATAATACACAAAAGTTATAATTTCTATGTCAAGGGATGAGAGAAGCCAAGTCCAGTACATTTACCTTTATTTCCAACTACTAACGATTCAAGGTAGTTGGAATAAATCCTTAATAATACTTATTCATATCAGTAAGATATATTAATAACTTAAAGACCTTCTTCCAAATATTTAGCGTTTCTAGACCGGCTGCTATTACCAGAAGTTCTGAGTAACGCAGTAGCTCCTGGCTACATGAGGCAACACCACTTTCAGTTACACATTTAATAACTCATTTGCTGCAGTTCTTCGAATAATTCAAAGTTTAAACTGACCACAGAATAAATACCAAGTACAAGTCAGTCACAAGAGAAATAAAGCAAATTTATTGTGTCTGCACAATATTCACAAACATGCTTCCTCTACATAATTGAGCCAAAATCTTTTTTAAATTATCGGAGGTGAAAACTCCTATAAATAATCCTAGCTACAAGAAAATCATCAACAATAAAGGAAGATTCTCAGCCTCAACTGTAGATGCATTATTAGTGAGAGATGACAGGTTCTTAAAATGCTTAAAAATACTCTAAAATCTAAAAAGAAGCACCACAGTATGATTAATGGATCAATATGTATAAATATGGACAGGAAGCCCCAGGCTTCCTTATGATCCCGTTTAATCAAAGAAACAAAAAAAAAGTTCTCAAATTTTCACATCTGCAGTGTCCTAAAATAAACCCTAATGCATCATGATTGGTACTCTTGCTTGCCAGCCTTCTTTATAAAAAAACCCTGCCACTATCTGGTAGTGAGAACTCAAAGACAAAGGGATACAAACTACCCCTGCACCAGAATTGCTCCCATTTCCCATGAGCAACACACTGGTGCTGGTCTCTCTCAAAACACCAAATGAAGGTCTTCTGAGAAAAGCTTAACTTTATGCAATGATGATCTTAATTTTGATACATTTTGAAAATTCTTATAAAAACTACTCAGTTCAGAGATTATATCCTGATTTAAGAGAGAAAGAGTCTCTTCAGCTTATTTCTCTGGTATAGGAAACTCCAAAACTACTACTTGTTCTTCAGCTAAACCTAATCCTACTAGGAATATAATGTGGCATAACAAGTATATATAAGATTGATATATACTTCTTCTTCCAGGAAGAGTTGTAAGTTGTCCTTCCCCGTCATTTATTTGAGGCATCAGTCTACCATTTCATACCCCGTAGACAAGCCAAACTACCAGCCAGCCCTGGCACAGACAAACCCTGTCCATCTTGACTTTATTTCAGAATGAAAAGCTTTATATGACTGTCTGTTTGATTTATATTTACCTTCTAACTTATTTCTAGAACCTTCTTGCACTATATTTGTAGTCTTTCTTTTCAGCTTCTGTATTTTAGATACTGTATATTACAAATCTGTGAATATGTATCTAAACAGATTTGCCTAAACCATCTCCACATTCATATTGTTTCTGTCTTTCATATATAAAGATAGACAGAGACGGAATAGTCTCTCGCAATGCATGTTTTTGTGTTTGCATATGTGCATTTGTGTACATAGTGAACAAGTATTTACCTTCCACCCACAATGAATGAATAAGAATTAATTCTTGTCTTACAGAATTTTCATCTCTTACAAGATACTTTTGTTATCTCGCAAAAACCCACATAAGAAATTTGATTTCTTTATCATTCATGTCAGTATCCACTGGAAGTCAGTTCAGGAAAAGGCATTATTTGTGGACAGCTAAAAAAAATAGGGGTTTTTTACTAGCTGGAACCCTTCCTCTGAAAAAGAATGGCTGACTTCAGAATTGGGGTTTATGTGAAAATTAATCAACATTAAGACTGAGAATTGAGACTTGCAACTCTCTTTAAGGGAATGGAAAGAACCCTATGGAGCCTACAAGGTTTTGGATTAGCCTTTAAGTGATCTCAGATGCTGCAATTTATATCTCTTTGTGACTCCACCTTAACCTGACATTTGTATCAATTCAGTCTCAGTTGGATACCTCTGGACTCCCCTCTGGTTTTGGCCCAATGAGTCCAGTAGACGCCAAGATCACTCTGACCAAGTTAGTCTGCAAACACAGTCACCCTGCTGCAGACTAGACTCCTTAAGTATTCTTTGAACCATTATCAATAATGAGTTGAATTAAATCAATATGTTTCCTGTAGCTAGGAAAACACAGATTTCTTTTGTTTTGGACAGAGGGAATAGTAAATGCAATGAAAGATTCCATTTTTATCATCTTTAAATTATTCATTAATTCAAGCCTCAAAAAACTGAAGACTTCCAGCTGTAATAATCATAATCACAATCATCACAGTACAGTTGAGACAAGAGTTATAAAATGCAGTTGGAGAAGGTGAAGGCAGAATCTCTCCTTCTCCCTTTAGTCTGCTGAACACCGAGCATCACATATTTAGCTTTTCTTTCTTTCTTTCTTTCTTTCTTTCTTTCTTTCTTTTTTTTTTCCTTGAACGAGTTGAAACTTCATCAGCTGCTTTACACAGGAGAGTCCAAACGGCCAGGTTAAAACATATTCTGGTATGCGAATGTTTAAGTGTGTAAAGGACACTGTGGTTTCTGCACTTCTCACTGACTTTGTTCCATGTCCAGCACCCTCTAAGCTCCTGTGCCAGCAACTTGGACAGAAAGCAGTCCTGCTCTAACAGAGCAGAAAAGCATTGATGGGAGAGGTGCAGGAGACCTATTCCAAAATACTCAATAGCCTGCAGTATTGCTCCAGGTTGGAGTATCGCCAACAGAGAGACTAAACACATCCTCTACCTGACTGTCCAAAACAGCGTGTAGATCCCCCAGGCATCGCTCCTAGGAGGAGAGTGAGACGGAGTCAAGCCCCCTTAAAGCCAAAGTGGGAACTGAAGGAGTTTGTTTCATGCTGGAGATATTCTCCAAGTCAGGAATCTCCTGCATAAAAGGATGACACTTTTGCCTTCCACAGTTGTGTTTGATGAACTAAACCCTGCATTTCCACAGCTTTCCTACAAGTACTGTGTGTACTGACATTTCAAGAGAAACAAAACACACTGTTTGACACAGCTCTTCTGAGAGCTGGGCTTTTGTTCTGGCGAGGAAAAAGACCTAAATTCAATTGTATCCAAATGAGGCTTTTTTTTCCCCTCTGATTTTACATTTCTGCTATTGAAACAAAAAAATCAATTCTATGTACAGCCCAAGTTAGGAAATGTAAACAACTTTTCTTTTCTCATTGGAAGAGGCCAGACAGGCCGACTTCACACATACACCCACACTGGAAAGGCTGAGAGCTTCAATCTAATCCTTCCATCAAGGGCTTGTAACAAATGCTCCAAAGATTTATTTTTATTCCCTTTTGTGTTTATTAAACTTTGGAGGGTTTCTTTTCCTTTTTCTTTTCTTTCTGGTGCTTTGCCCATTCTTTATTATGGCAGCTACAAAACATGGACTGCCCTTTTCTTCTCGCCCTCTTTTTTTTTTTTTTTCTTCTCTCCTCGTCTTTCTAACTGCAGTACATGAATGACCATGTAGTAGGCTTTGAAGCAGCACATGCAAATATTTATAAGAGTAGCTTGATTGTTATTAAATGCAGTTGTTATGCTTTCCACGCTCTGGCAAGCTTCCCTAACCCCTCTAACTATTAGGACCATTTAGGCTGTTTAGATTTCAGCTCACTGATAGCAAATCATACTTTTTTTTTTTTTTTTTCTAACGAGCGGCATAACGTGACCTTGTTTCTCCCTTCTCCCCGTGTGAGGTTTACTCTCTGCTTAACACACAGGCCCCTGCCACAAGCCAGGTCAGGCTGCCTTTAAGGACATCCAGACATGGTAAGTGAAGCAACACGCACAAGACTGCTGGAAGGATGTAACAGCACGTCTT